CAGGATCAAATTGGATAAAAGGAAAACTTCAATTTGCAACTTTTTATAACAATCGCTGGTTAATATTCACAAATAAAATATCGGCTCTCGGTGCAAGAAGACGACAACCAGTAGCCATCTCCAGTGGTAAGTGAAGACCGAACAAGACACTCGGACGTCTGACTGGCGCCAGAGGCCCAATGATCGTAAGTGATCTCTTCTCCATCTTCAACCCACAACCATACAGGCGTGAAAATCCCCGTAAAATCATACATGCCGCCGATGAATAAGTCTGGAACAGATTGGTCTAAAACCAGCATGTAGTTCTTCAGTTGCTTACCATGAGTGGTCGCTTTCGCTTTCTTGATGGCGCTATTCAAAGCGTCGCTGTCCTCCAAAGAACGTTCTCGGGCCAACGTGTATTTATTGCGCTTGCAAGTGGCGTATGCTTGCATGAAGCTGAGCTAAAGCAGAGTTAGAAGCTGGAAATCATAGCTAGTCAGCACCCAATTGGGCGCTGAATGCTTACCGCTTCCGTTGAAATGTAGTATTCGCTCAGCGCTTGGCTCAGCACCGCAGCAAAGGCGAAGAAAAGCAGCAGTTTTCCCATCGTGGACTTGCGATGAGGACTTGCTGATGTTTGGCGACATTCATAAGGAATCTATTGCAGATAAGGCAGAAAACTAGTGGTTTGCGTCACTAAGACACTTGAATCAGAAAAAATGCCTTTGTGGATTCGATGGAAATCCACTCGATTGGTGCGATAAGGTACTTTGCAGGTGCCAGTTTCCAAACAAGTCAAGCTTTTCTAGTGGAAGTTGAATGCGAAAATATATATTTCAAGGCTTCGTTAACTTCCACAAGGCGTTTGAAAGGCGACGAGTTTTGAGCAGATGCGATTTTTTGCTTCTGGGTTGATTAATTCGCCAAAATTCAGTCTGCACTTGGATGGGCTTTACATTTTCAGCGTGTTCGCCCCAAAGGGTCGTCTTTAAGACTGGAAGGTTTTACAAAGCTACTTGGACTGGTTCGGAGTGGCGGATTTTTTCAAAAGGAGTTTCGATTGGAAGCCTTGCAGATGCAGCATCAAATTTGTGAATCTGCGAAAAATCAACCTCTGCTTCGATTTACTTGAAGTTTTCCGCATTTAAGCAACAAAGTGTCGTCTATAAATGCACGAAATTTCATGGCTGGAGTCAGATTTGGAGTGCAGAATTTTTTAAGTCCGTTATGTTGAATGATGTTTGTGCTCTGCACCATCAATTTTGTCAATGTCTGAAAAATCAACGTGTGTCGGGATTTAGTTGCAATTTGCAGGATTTACCCAAGAAACTGTTCGCAATACAGTGGGAAAATTTTATTCGTCTCGGTTGGGAGTTGCGAATTTTTTAAAAATTTGTCGCGTTTGGGCTGTTTGTGACATGCAGCAGGAATTTTTCACACCTGTTAAAAATCAATCTCTTCCTTAATGTACTTCGAATTTTCAGAATTAGCGCACGAAAGTGTTTTCTAAAGGGGCCAAAAATTTCAATTTTCAGACTTTTCGGGTGTGGAATTAGACACTGTTTAAAAATGAGGCTCTTACCAAGCACTTCGTACCATGCAGCAGCAATCCAAATTTGTTAAAGCCCAAAAAATCAACTTGTCCTTCAATTTATGTGAATTTTTCCACACTTGCACAAGAGTGTAGCAGTAATTATTGGGGAAAATTTCAAGGTGCTGCGAGTGTCGGTTTGGAGTGGGAAATTTGTTTAATGCGAGACTCCTTGCGAGATGTTCGAGCGATGCAGCTGAAACTTTGCTAATCTCTCAAAAATCAGCCTTTGAATAACGATCCGTGAAATTTTCAAAGTTGGAATACCACAGCATGTTCTAAAGGCCTCAAAAAGTTCGATGTTCTAGCAGGTCTGGTGTGTATGGAATTGGTCAGTTTTTAAAAATGAGTCCTTCAGAAAGCACTTCGCACTATGCAGCATCAATTTTAATAATTCCGCAAAAATCAATCTGTACTTTGCTTTACTTGTAATTTTACGCACTTGTACAAGTCAGCATGAGTAATGTTTGTGGAGAATTTAAAGACGCTCCGAGTTTCGGTTTGGAGTGAAAACATGTTTGAATGTAAAACTCGTTGGGAGATGGTCGAGCGATGCAGCTGAAACTTTGCTAATCTCTGCAAAATCAACCATTGTATCAATATGCGCGAACTTTTCAGACGTTAAACACTAAAGCATTTTCTAAAGGTGTTACAAATTTCGAAATTCTAGCGGGTCTGGTGTGGAGTTGGCCAATTTTTCTAAAATGAGTCTCTTAGCAGTCACTCGGTACTATGCAGCATCAAATTTGATAATTTCATAAAAATCAACCTGTACGTTGATTTACTTGCAGTTTTTAGGGTTTGTAGAAGACAGTATTGGTAATATTCGAGGAAAATTTGACGGTGGTGCGACTTCTGGTTTGGGGAGGACATTTTTTAAATGTTAGACTCGTTGGGAGATGTTCGAGCGATGCAGATGAAACTTTGCTAATCTCTGAAAAATCAAATATTGTATCAATATGCCTGAAATTTTCAGAAGTTAAACATCACAAGCATGTCCTAACGGGGTTATAAATTTCGAAATTCTAGCACGTCTGGTGCGGAGTTGGCCAATTTTTCTAAAATGAGTCTCTTAGCAGTCACTCCGTACTATGCAGCATCAAATTTGATAATTTCGTAAAAATAAACATGTACGTTGCTTTACTTGCAATTTTTAGGGTTTGTACAAAGACAGTATTGGTAATATTCGGGGAAAATTTTACGGTGGTGCGACTTCTGGTTTGGGGTAGGAAATTTTTTAAATGTTAGACTCGTTGGGAGATGATCGAGCGGTGCAGCTGAAACTTTGCTAATATCTGAAAAATCAACCATTGCATGAATATGCACGAAATTTTCACAAGTTAAACATCAAAGTATTTCCTAATGGTGTTACAAATATCGAAATTCTAGCGGGTCTGGTGTGGAGTTGGTAAATTTTTCTAAAATGAGTCTCTTAGCAGTCACTCCGTACTATCCAGCATCAAATTTGATAATTTCGTAGAAATCAACCTGTACGTTGATTTACTTGTTATTTTTAGGGTTTATAGAAGATAGTATTGGCAATATTCGAGGAAAATTTGACAGTGGTGCAACTTCTGGTTTGGAGTGGAAAATTTTTTAAACGTTAGACTCGTAGGGAGATGTTCGAACGATGCAGCTGAAACTTTGCTAATCTCTGCAAAATCAACCATTGTATTAATATGGCCGAAACTTTAAAAAGTTAAACATCAACGTATTTCCTAATGGTGTTACAAATTTCGAAGTTCTAGCGGGTCTGGTGCCGAGTTGGCCAATTTTTCTAAAATGAGTCTCTTAGCAGTCACTCCGTACTATGCAGCATCAAATTTGATAATTTCGTAAAAATCAACCTGTACGTTGCTTTACTTGCAATTTTTAGGGTTTGTATAAGACAGTATTGGTAATATTCGGGGAAAATTTGACGGTGGTGCGACTTCTGGTTTGGGGAGGACATTTTTTAAATGTTAGACTCGTTGGGAGATGTTCGAGCGATGCAGCTGAAACTTTGCTAATCTCTGCAAAATCAACCATTGTATCAATATGCGCGAACTTTTCAGACGTTAAACACTAAAGCATTTTCTAAAGGTGTTACAAATTTCGAAATTCTAGCGGGTCTGGTGTGGAGTTGGTCAATTTTTCTAAAATGAGTCTCTTAGCAGTCACTCCGTACTATGCAGCATCAACTTTGTTAAATCCTGAAAAACCATCCTGTTCTTCAATTTACCTGAAATTTATAGCACTCAAATATAATGGTACCAGTAAGATACGTGAGAAATTTCATCGTGTTCCGACTTTTGGTTTAGAGTGAGAACATTTTTGAAAATAGATCGCGTTGGGAGATGTTTGTGCGATTCAGCACAAACTTGCCGATCTCTTAAAAATCAATCTCTTTTTCAATCTACCAGAAAATTTCAGGATTAACGTATTGATGTAGTAGGCTTAGGTGTCACAAATTTTAACATCCTACCGAGTCTGATGTGGGATTGAACAATTTTAAAAAATGAGTCTTCTAGAAAACCCTTCGTGTTATGCAGCATCAATTTTGTTAAATCCTGAAAAACCATCCTGTGCTGTAAATTGCCTGCAATTTTTAGCACTCAAACCGGATGGTACCGGTAATATACGTGAGAAATTTTAGGATGCTCCGACGTTTGGTTTGGAGTGAGCAAATTTTTGAAAATAAATCTCATTGGGAGATGTTTGTGCGATGCAACCGATATTTCGCCCAGCTCTTAAAAATAAATTTCTTATCCAACGCACTTGAAATTATCCGAATTAGCACACCAACGTATATGTTGAGGGCGTCAACAGTTTCAAGATTCTAGATTGTCTGGATTGGAGTTGGCGAATTTTCCAAAATGAGTCTCTTTGAGCACGATTTTTACTATGCAGCATCAACTTTGCTAATGCCTGAAAAGCACATCTGAGGGTCAATTTAATTGAAATTTTCCGGTTTGGCACCCCAAAGTACTGTCTATAAACAGTGAAAATTTCGCAGTCCTACTTGGCCAGGTGTGAAAGAGGAACTGTTTTGAACATGAGAGTTTTTGGATTCCTTTCGCCCCTTATGTGGCTTCCAAAAAATCAATCTATATGTCCAATTTAGTTCACCTTCCAAAATCTTACGCCCTGAACCCCCTTTTATATTGTATGGAAACTTTCGTTCTCCCATGTTCTGGTGAATTTTTTCCTCAGTTGAATTCTCCACAAAGGCTTGTCTCCCAACGTCGCATTTTCCTTCTCCACTTGAGCATTTTTATTTTTTCGAGCACGTCTAGATACAGCATTTCCTGATAAATACCCACGACGAAAACAGTGTCCTGACTGATAGCGAACAATGTGGAAACTGGCTGCGTTTTTGGTGCTGGTTTCGCTGGCCAGCCGAGCTGCAGCTCAAAAATATACCATTGTAACTGAACAGGTGAGGAAACTGCTTCTTTCCCTCTTTCCTCGGCATAATGGGAACATTCCAGGCAACTTACACCCAAGCCTTGGCCTTCTGCAAGCGATTGGGCCTCACTTTGGTGAAAGAACGCTCATTGGAGGACACTGATGCACTGAACGAAGCCATCAGCGCTGCTGGCGAAACCGCACACTGTAAGTGCCCTCACTAAAACCCTTCTAGCTCTAATGGATGCTGTTTTCAGTCTTCTATTTGGGCGGATTTCATCAGCAGGATAATATTCTAACCCCCGAATGGATCTGGATTGATACCGGTGAGGAAATCACCTATGAGAATTGGAGCACCGGGGCTAGCAAGGATGGGGAATGCTTGGTGAGGACTTCAGCTTCTTCAGTTGCGGGCAACTGGATGTCGTCCACATGCACAGTACAGCGCTATTTCATTTGTGAGCAAGAAGAATAGACGAATGAAACATGCGGCTTTAAAACGAAATAAATTTTCCAATTGTGCAGGTTTTTATTTTTTGGGGGTGTGCGACAATGGGCAGTTCAATTTTAGTCCAGTGTATGACGTTAGCAGTCGGTTGGTGAATCGGGAGCGCTCGCCTCGTGCGGTCTCGCTCGCACTTACAAGCAAATAGCTGCCGACCTGCCGCAATGAGATTCCGTCATACGCTGCAATAAAATTGAAGTGTTTCAATTTTGATCAATTCCGTTTCAACAATTGTTCAAAATCCATCCAGGAAGTGAAAGGTAAATCACCTGGCAATTCGGACAGTCAATTGATGCCCTTGCCGTTATCACGATCCATGGCTCTTAGCGGTAAAAACGTGGTGGCTCAGTTTCACTGCCAGTTTACGATTAGAGCCACTTAGAGCAATTCTCGTTAGAGCACTTGGCCGTTGGTCGAATCGATCGTCGATTTGATGCGTCGATCCAGTCCAGCAGCACCCATAAAGAATCTAATGCTGTTTACGGTAGTCCAGTCCATTAGATGGTTGGGGCAGATGTTAAATTTAATTTGTGCTCATATTAGGCACTCTATCTCTTTTATAGAGCCGCATAAATGTCGTGAATATGCATGGGGAAATTATGTTTTATTAAAACCTGGAGGATATTAATTAATGGGCCACGCTGGAGGGAATGGAGTACATTATTTGCGGCCGTAATATGCTGGGCAAACGTTTTATGAATATTACCATTCCCAGTCCGATTGAATTATTTAAAATAGTTTTAACATGGCTTAGAGCGACTGAGTGCTTTCACATACAATAGCCGCTGTTTGTTTTCCACCGTCAGTAAAGAAAAGTTCGCCTTCCAACCAGACGAAGACGCAAATACCTCCCTTATTGCGATATGGACTTATCTCTTTCGCCTTTGAGGAATATGCATAAAATGATTTTAATCCCCGTCGCGCCAACATACAATCGGGGATGGGATTTAAATGTTCTCTATTCGCGAAAATTATCTCCAGAATGATAAGGCTTTCGAGCGAGGCTCCTTTTGAGAGAAATGGCGCTCCCAAGGTTTCCCACAGTCGATCATATTTTACGGATTTTCCGCGCTAATCCAGTGAAATAGAGTACATAATAATAAACTTTAATAAAATAAATAAAGTAAAAAATAATAAACTCCTCAATAGAGCAAAAAGCATTAATGTCCTTAAAAAAAGGTAAAACAATCAAAATTTGGCCTGCTGATAAAGGTAATGCGACGGTCATCATGGATTATAATATCTATGATCGAAAAATTAATGAACTTTTAAATGACAAAAGTTATTCAAAATTAAACAAAAATCCAACAGAACGTTTTAAAAGACAAATTCATAAGACTTTAAAAAGATTTAAACATGAATTCACAGATTACGTTAGATTAAAATTAACACCACACAATAGTAAAACACCAAATTTTTACGGAGTTCCGAAAATTCATAAAGTTAATATTCCTTTACGACCAATAGTTAGTAGTATAAATTCACCTACACATCCCTTAGCCAAATAT